AGCAGCTGCCTGCCTCTGGGCCCTGGGCACACGCCTACTGTGCAGCTTTCCTCTGTGCGGCCCAGGCTCATGTGCTCTCTCCTGGGAACTCCATCCCCATTCGCTTTCTCAGTGTTCGCCTGCCTCTGGGCTTCCATAGACAGTAAAAGCATGGCACGCTAGCAGGGCAGATTCATATCTCAGCTTGCTGCAAGAGACTGAAAATGAGGAGTGGTCTGTGAGGATGAATATTTTGGCAGAAGCATTTTGGACAGTCTGAAGGTTGAGAGGCTGAGACAAGGTGCTAGAAACCCAGAGAAGAGGCGAGAGAGAGGAAGTGCCCAAGATATAGACAAAGACTATCAGACAAGTTGAGAACATCGTTTTTGCCACATTGAGCTTAATATGTAGCAGGCCACCTGCAAGAGGAAATGTTAGAAAGGTATATTTCAGTGGTTCTCAAAGTGTGGTCTGTGGACCTCTAATGGACTGCAGCCGCCTCCCAGGAAGTCCATGGCAGTCTGCAGGGAGGGGCCAATCAGCGGCTCAGCCCCCACGGTGCCATGGATTGGACCCCTGCAGGATCCCATACTCTGCAGGGTTAGAAACCCCAGGGTCACCTACTCACCCACCCCCACCTTGCTGCACTGCACCCAGCCTCCCTGCCTCTCCGTTTCCCTGCACCCTCCCAGCCACCTTGACCCCAGCCCTGTTCCCAGGGGCATCCTGCCCCCATTTCCCTGAACCCCCTCAGCCACTCTGCCCCCAGCTTTAGCTCCAGGCACTCCCTGCCCCCATCTCCCTCCCCCCTGGCCAGACACCCTACTCCCAGCCTTCTGCACCTCACAACCTCTTCCTTTTTGCACACCACCTCCCTCTCAGATCCTGCACCCCATCCCTATCCCACTCATTGGCAACCCTGTCCTGCACACTGTACCCCTAATTTTTGTCCCCACCCCAGAACCTAAGGGGATCTACAAAATCCACTAACTCTGGAATCCCAGAAAAGTAAATCTGGCCTATGGGAAGCCCAGAACATCAGAAAGATTGTATGGCTAACAGTTAGCAATTAGCTTTACTCATAGTTAGCCATCCAATCTTTCTCCTAAATTGCTAGCTTAACACTTTATTTTTGACTTTTTGTGCACTTTTTTTATTATTTGTAGTCTTTTGGTGAGCTGTTAGAAAGATTGTCTTTGTAAAAAGCTTTTTTGTATTTTTTTTATTCTGGCTGATAAACTTGCATTCAATTTTAAAAGAAATCTGAATCTAGTATTTGAGGAGTCCATCATACTCTTTTTTCATAATGATGAAGAAGAGACCCATCCAAAAGAATATTAGCTCTCATTAATGTCTAAAATTTTAGAGTCCTTAGGTAAGCTTGTGAACATGCTCAACTTTTAATGATACAGTTTTCAAAGGAAAACAAATTCCTAAAGATATACTGGTGCATAAGTACACTCCTCCCTATCACTTTCCCATCAGTTTTTGTTGGTGATTTGCGACCTTTATTTCCATCTTAATAGCTTATTTAATTCTTAGCCTACTCATTTGTATTATTCTTAAGGGCTGGTGGAAGGTTTTAATGCCTATAGATCTCCTATAAGATTTATCCAGTGTTGCTTGGGTCCTTAACTCAAATAGTTTTGTATAAAGGGGGATGAGAGGTTCAGTATGTAGGCTGCCCCGGCCCTCTCTCACCACAGCAGCTTAGGGTCAGGTGAGAAGCATCTGTCCATAGTTGCTGCAGCTGTCAAGGCCAGGGAAAGGAGTGCATGTCCCCCACCTGAGGGACAGAGACACACACACATGAACTCTCTGACATACAGTAGATAGGTGTTCCTTTTTTCCATACACACACCCCAGAGTCCCAGTAGAGTTATAGCTGTCTCGATCCCCATCTCTGGCCTCTTGCTGCCCTCTTGTAGTCCTTCTACAGTATAACTGTGCCTCCAATCAGCCCCTCCTTTCAATTTGATGAGAAACAATTGAATTCCATGTACGTCCAATTGTCCTGACACAACCAAACACAGACCTTACTGTAAGTTATGATAAAAGGAAGCTGCATACCAAATGTAGTGGTCCTAGCTCTTATTGTTTAGGAGGAGTTCTTGATCAGATGGATTTACAGTTGGCCGGCCAGACAGACATGCACATTTCTAAAATATATAGTACTAAAATATATAGTACTAGAAGACTTACCTAGGATTCTTTAGGACAGGGGGCTGGTAGTGTGGAGAGTGAAGGAGTCAGGATCTTGGGGCCGTCGGGAGGCTGGGCAGGAGGCTAGGCATGTGGGTGTGTGTGTGCGAGAATGATTGAGGGGTGAGGGGTTCAGGGCATGGGGTCACTCCAGCAGGGCTTTCTCTTGCCCCCCATCTGCCCTCATTTTTGAGGGGCTTTCTGTCTTCCCTCAGCCCCTTCAGCCACCAGGGGCCTTCTCCACCCCTCTGGCACTACAGCCAAGGGCTGGGGGTGGGGTAGAGAAAAGGTTTGGGGCAGGAGTTGCTACTTACTTGGTCTGGTGGCAGGCAAGATGGCAGAGCCTCAGCCCTTCTGGCTACTCTTGGTGTAACAGTTGTCTCCAGTGGTCACTCTTCATATAGCTCTCCTCTGCACTAACTGCCCTCAGTGGCCTCTCTCAGTATTGAGTCCCTCCTCTCTCTGTTCCTCCCTTTCTCAGTCCCCTCCCTTTCCATGTTATGGAAAACAGTCCCATTCCCAGCACTTCCCGTTTTCTTGGCACAACTACCCCTGGACCTTGGTTTAAGTGGGGGTAAGAGGAAGCTATGTACCAAATTTGATGGTTCTAGCTCTTACCGTTTAGGAGGAATTCTTGAACAAATGGATTCAGATGGACAGAACAAATGGACAGATGAACATTTCAGAAATATATAGATAGAAGATTTCCTTGTTCTTTTATTTGTGATGGATAAATAAATGGAAAAGAAAAGAAATACCCCAAGATAACTAATTGAATAATGTTCTGGACCTCGTGTTCATTTAGGTAACTTTGTTTTACTGGTATCTTAAAATTTCAGGAAGTATTTATTTGATTCAGTCAGTAGTTTCATACATCAAGATTTGTGTTTCTGTTCTGTATTGCTGCTTAAAGCCGCAGGCTTATAATGCACTGATGAAAATACAGATAAATGAATTTCCTTAATATCCCAATGAATAGGAAAAAGTTAATCAAAAGTGAGAAGTGAGTTAAGCAATAATATTCCTCTTGCCTTGTGGACTCTGTCAACATTTTCAAGTTATCCAACTAGATATTATTCAAGTTAGAGGTAAAAATGCAATTTTAGAGGAACCAGGCTCAAAGCCGGGAAGTTTGGTTCTGAGTCTTTTTGTTTTGTTTTGTTTTTTGTTTGTTTCAATATAGTAAGTTACATTATTGTAATGACCAACATTTTAAGTTTGCTTGTTCATTTATAACATGATTTCAATATAGTCAATATGTTGTGTTTTTAGAGAAAGAAACTCAGAATGGCTGATCATTTGGGTATATAGGAAACAGGAAATTGGTATAACACTTGTAAATTTAGTGCTGCAGAAAGCTGACCACTTTAATACACAGTGTATTTAAAAGAAAAAGTTATAGGCAAAGGAGTAATTCTCTCCTTTAGCTGAAATTTGGAATCTGCAGGAAAAGCACTAAAGCAGTGTTTCTCAAACATTTTTTTATAAAGAATAGCGATAGAAATGTAGCTGTGTTAGTCTGGTGTAGCTGAAACAAAAAACAGGGCTATGTAGCACTTTAAAGACTAACAAGATGGTTTATTAGGTAATGAGCTTTCGTGGGCCAGACCCACTTCCTCAGATCAAATAGTAAGGGTGAAGCTTGCCAGGTAACCATTTACCCATTCATATTCCTACCAGAATAGTGATAGAAACGTAGCCATGTTAGTCTGGTGTAGGTGAAACAAAAAACAGGACTATGTAGCAGTTTAAACACTAACAAGATGGTTTATTAGGTAATGAGCTTTCGTGGGCCAGACCCACTTCCTCAGATCAAATAGTGGAAGAAAATTGTCACAACCATATATACCAAAGGATACAATTAAAAACATGAACACATATGAAAAGGACAAATCAAATTTCAGAACAGAAGGGGGATGTTAATTGATAATGTGTTGGACAGGTTTAAGTTAAGCCCCCAACTTAAACCTGTCCAACACATTATCAATAAACTACAGCCTATACTGGAACAGGATACTAAACTCCAAGAGGCTCTGGGAGACAGACCCAGAGTCTTCTATAGACAACCAACTCACCTCAAGATGATTCTTACCAACAACCACAGGACATACTACACTAACACAAACCCTGGCACCTTCCCTTGCAACAAACCCCGTTGCCAGCTTTGTCCACATATTCACTCTGCTGATACCATTATTGGACCTAACCAAGTGAATTATAAGATCAAGAACACATATTCCTGCGCATCCAGAAATATAATTTATGC